AACCACATTCATTACCGACAAACCATAGCAACAATACGACAATTTTATTAAACCACAAACAACAATCATTTAACTACATATATCACAAAATTCAACTAAATTTTACTTAAATTCTCAATAAACGTCAAATTAACTAATACAATTTCAACAAAAATTACACCTTAAATACTATCAATTTCACAAAAAAGTAGTGCAATTTTTACCCAATTTCATATCAATTTAAACTCATATTCACCCAATTTGAACTAAATTTCACCACAAATGCACTAAATTTCACACAAAACTTTTCAATTTCACAAAAAATTACAATAATAATAAACTGTATAAAATTTTAAAAAAACACCTTGAGAAGAAGAGGAGGTCCGGTGGGGGAAGATGGCGGTCGAGACACTCGTAGCGGCGAGGGGTGGAGACCCTGGCGGCGGTGGCGAGGAGGGAGGGAGACACTGGAGGCGAGGGGTGGAGACACTGGCGGTCGAAGGCGCGAGGCTTGGAGGGAGAAACTCGCGGCGCGGTCGATGGCGAGGCGAAGAGAACTATCGCCGCGGCCTCAAGCATGCGGCGGCGGCGGGCGGTCAAGGAAAGCCGCGGAGGAGATGCGTCAGTCGAAGTTGGGTGGAAGAAAGATGTCTGGGCTCAGATCTGTGAACTGATTTCGTATGTAGATTGAAAAGAGGATAACCCTATGTTATTTAATTATCTGTGATGGGAATACATCCGTTGCAGATCTGCTACGGAAAGTGTATTTCCGTCGCAGATAATGTTCCTTTTCCAGAAATTATTTTTCCGTTGCAGATCTGCTACGGATATATGTCCGTAGCAGATTTCTGTTGCAGACCAGATAAATTCTTGTAGTGCAAGATTATATTTAATTTATTTTGAAACTCATTTACTTTTGTACTCTAGAGTTTTTTAGGCGAGCGAATTATAAGCTCCTTCGAGGGTTTCTTTTCGGTTCTTTACCTCGTCGCTTTTCTTTGAACCGACAGGATAGATAATCTAGTTCAAGTAGGATTGGGAATGTTGTTGTTATTTAAGGGAGCCTTAACCTCTCTTTTCCTTACGAAATAACAAACCCTTTCTCCTAAAACCTCTTTCTCTCTCTAAATTCTCTTCTCTCTCACGTCAACTTCCCCTCTCCCAAACCCTAGCCGCGCACGCCTTGTGCTTCGGCCGGTCATCGAAGCTACTTCGTCGTATCAAATTTATATTTAATACCGAGTATTAAGCTGAAGCTTTTAATTTTAAATATTTTAAGTGTTAATCTGCATTATTCAAAAATCCAATCTGAACACTAACACTGATAATCTCAAATATTGTTTGCAATAATCCAAAACGCTAATACTAATATTTGCAAATGAAGCGTTCATATCTCCATGCCATGTCTCTTGGGACATGTACTTCAATCCACAACATTAATATGTAGTGTATTGGTCATATTATACACTTCAATTCATCCCTATTATATAGTGTAATTAAATTTGTTGTGCATACATCTAAATATGCCAGATAAACTAGGAGCTGCCATGAGTGTGGTGAAATCAGATATCAGTGGAAACATATCGGTAAGACTTGATTTTTTTTTTCTTTTTAGCTTCTTAATTAATAATGTTCTTTGGAAACATAATTAAATTGGCTTTGATTTGTTGGGATTATTCCATTAATCAAAGAGGAATTCTAATTTTGATAATTAATTATGAATTAAATCTGGGGATGCAGAGATTGGAATCTAAATATGAGACAAACCCATCAAGATTCAACTACTTGTACAGTTTTGTACAAGCAGAAGTTGAAACCAAAACTGCCAAATCCTCATCCAGTTGCACCAATGCTCTTCTTTGGCTCACTAGGTACCTTCTCTACTATATATACCTATATTATTATATTGTTCGATTTGGTATGGAATTACTTCACACATTTTTGTTGAAGTATAAAATCTTTCATGTCGCGCACGTAATTCTGATCGTCCACGCATGCATGCATGCATTTTGCTTTATTTAGGACAATGGATTTTATAGTGGAGCTCTTCCGGAACTTGGCCCAGAATCAAGACTGGTCAATGTCACAAGCATGCAGTGATTCTTACGCTAAGACGTTGAAAAACTGGCATGGGTGGCTGGCTAGCTCTACCTTTTCGGTATGATTAAGTATAAAATTTGTCATAGACCCACAATTACGAGAGCATGATCTTTAATTTATGGTTTAGTTAAATCCCCAACATTGTTTATATCAAAGTCTTACACCCCTAGATGTCACGAGTTCAAATATAATCAACTTCATTGTCACTCAATTTAAAAATACTCTCGTTTTGAAATCTTTCTTTAATTGGCAAATGGAATTTCAATTCCAATTCAATTCCAATTCCGTCAATTCCGTATACCAACGGACCCTTAAAAATCGTATCATTTTCATTTAGAAGTTTTTTAATTGGCAAATAAGGCACATAGGGAGTATGTTTTTATTAGGTGTTATTACTTTACTCTTTTATTGATTGAAATAATGTTTTTTTCCTCTTTTAATATGAAAAAAAGGTTGCAATCAAGCTTGCTCCGGATAGGAAGAAGTTCATGGAGGTGATAGTTGGAGGTAGGAACAGCTATGGAGAGGTGGAGGCTTTCTACACCACATTATCACCCATTCTCCACCAGATTCACAAATTCTTGGTAATTAAGAAACACACACACACATATTATATATCATCAACCTTTAATTTCATTAATTAATAATTAACCTTCCAACTCTATTCTATTGATTCTATAATCTCATTTCCTCTTAATTTAATTAATTACATTGTCCAAAATAAGTTGTGATTTTATTTCACTTTGGGGCAGGCAAGTGTTGGCTTGGACACGATGAAAGCTTCGTGAGACAAAGGCACAGACTAATCCATTCAATCTCTATTTGTACCCCAACTTTTGTACCCCAATTTGAGGGTGTTTGGGATTGCGTTTAAAAACTGCTTATGAGCTTTTGCTTCACTAAAATAATGTTTGTCGTGTTTGTCAATCTGCTTCTGCTTATAGATTATAACTTCTGTAGTATAAAATGGGCTCCAGACGTGCTTTTAAGCAAAGCTAAAAGGGAGAAATACGAATATAGCACTTTAATAGGCTTAAAATACGCAAAATAGCAGTGCTATAAGTTTTTGAGATGAATTCCCAATATTACCCTTAATTAAACAAATTTGTATTATATATACACTGCCACAGTATATACACTGCCACAATATATCTACACTGCCACGTACAATATATACACTGCCATAATGTTCGCCACAATATGTACTTCCAAAAATTCAATGTCTGAAATACAATGCCACAATATATACACTGCCACAATATATCTACACTGCCACAATTCGGGCAATCACAGAACATACTTCTCATTGTTTCTAAGAAAATATTTTAGTTTGTTTATGAAGAAAATTAAATAAATATACCTTCTGAGAAGAACAAGGATTATGAGATTTTTGAGTAAATTCATGCTGATAACGTGTTGTAAAATGAGAGAAAAACTACTCAGAGATTAAGAGAATAGATATAATATAATACACTGCCACAATATATATACACTACCACAATATATACATTGCCATAATGTTAGCCACAATATGTACTTCCAAAAATTCAATGTCTAAAATACACTGTCACAATATATGCACCGCCAAAAATTCAATGTCTGAAATATAATGCCACAATATATACATTGCCAGAATATATCTACACTGCCACAATATAAAGCTTCCATGAGTATCCCATGTCCCATCAACACGTAGCAATATCGTCAAATTTGGACCCATCTGTGATGCTCCTTTTAAATAATAAAAGAGAAAATATTCAATTAAATTAAATAAAGGAATGAACTCAAAGAATAGACGTATAACCTAATATGCGATGAAAATGCTGGATTTAATGGAGGTGGTGAATACAAAAACACATCGTATATATATACATGATAGACATTTTAGTCACATTGCAAACTTCAGAATATTAAACAAATACAAATTAATCTCACCTTTCTGCATGTGTGCAAGTTTTGGGCCGCTGTTAAAAAACTAACGACCACTAAACA